TTTTGCATTTTTGTTTTTGTTTTTGCATTTTTGTTTTTGTTTTAATTAATATAGGTATATTTAATATTGGAAATATCTACGAATAAAATATTTGCAAATTATTCAATTTTAAAGCCAATTTTTCTAAATTGACCACTGCATTTTTTTCTAAGTAAAATTTAATACAAATTATACAAATAATTTTATCCCATGATTATAACTATTTTAATGTAATTTAGAGTGATTAATTATAAATTATCAATGAATGTATTATTATTTCCAATTATGAAATATTTCATATTTTGCAATTTGTTATTTTCATATGACCATTTGAATTTTTTTTCGCGTATTTCAAAATCTTATATGAATTATTTGAATTTTCTTTTATTTTAACCCTGAAAAGTAAAATGATTGTTAGAGTTTAAAATTTTTAATACTGCGCTTATCTACTCAAGTTATAGATGAAAGTTTTTAAATACTAAAATTTGTGAAAGCCACTCCATACAATGAGGAAGATCAAATACATTATAATACCAATGAAATACGATGAAATTTTTAACATAAAATAATTAATATTTGTTCGAATAATTAGAAATTCTACATTAATAAACTCTTAACTAATAGATTTAATAAATAATTTCATCATAAATAAATCGTTAAAACGAAGGACTTTATGTCGAGATATATTTCAATGTATCTACTGTTCATTTTGTAATACGGCTATCATTATAAACATGTAACATTAAATTTTTCTAAATTATATTGACATATACATTTTATTTTAGCTCATTATCGTATTATTTACGTTTTTCAATGAAAAAGTATTCTAGCTTTCCTTCGAAAAATCAATTCCGTATCAGAATTTAAATAATGCTTTGTTTTTTTTATGTCCCTCTGCGGCCATCCACGAGCTTTTTTTATCCAAATAGTTACATAAATCATTGATCAGCAGCACTTTCATTATGAATTTGAAATTAAAAGTTCGATACGAGAAAAGTTACGTATTTATTTTTTATGCCTCCATCAGACTACAAGCCTTTCGAGGGTTATTTATACAAAATAACTAAAGACAAACGATTCGCCGCAATTTATATGTTAGTTGAACCGAAGAAAAACTTTTATTTTAACGGATT